TCCAAAAGAGAGACACAAAGAACCGGAGCGAGATGTTTTAATACAAAATAATACAGCAATTAATTGATAGTAATGGAGAAGCTGTCATATTATTCACTAGTTAATGATACATAATAACGGAAATCTCACTATTGGAAAAGAAGTATATAAAACAAATACAACCTTGAGTTTTTCCTAGTTTTCCTTATACTTTACGATGCAATTACAAGGATTATTCAATGGAATCATATTTGATTTGATGGCGGTGTTATTCGTTTACTTCGTCATAACAGAATATATTTCAGCTTTTGTTGCTTTAGTAATAGTAATACATAATAATGAAATACAAAATATTTGCATTTGGTTATTTTCTGAACATTGTTCCTAAAGAACAAAATGACATTGATAATCAACCAATAATTCAAATAAAAACCGATGTTGTTTTTTTTAGCCAATGGAGATTTATACGAATATAAAAGCTATATAATATGATGCCTACAGTTATTCACATAGTTCAGTGGTTAAATAATGCAAAAAAATTCAATTAAGAAGAGAATTCAATAAGAATTTGGTTGATCCTAAATTTGTTTACATTGCTATATCAAATGAAAATGTGGGATAGCTGGAACCGGCTTTATATATAAATCGATATATGAAGTTAAAGAACTGATTATTGAATCATCATCTTCATCGAGGAGTCTCGATCCTGATGAAATGTTTGCCCGTCTTATTTAGAGCTCTTTGATTCGCTTATTACAGTAAATCAGTCCGCATTCTTCTTATGTTATTGTCAGTTTGTTTTATGACTTGTCTTTCGTTAAAATTTTTTTTTACTCATTTCGATCTGTGCATAGGTCCCTCTTGTTTCTGACTTACAGGATTTTGATATCTGTCATGACCTAATCCTCATTTCTCTCTCTAGGTCTTTCCATTGGTCTTTTAGTTTCAGGCTTACATCTGGTGACTTTCAGCTTGTCACATTGTCTCAGCTGCATATGTATCTAGTGGTCTTATTCCAACTCTGTATGTTCTCAGTTTTGTATTGCTGGATAAGTTCTTGTCCGTCATTAGCATATGGAATTTCTAGTAAGTTTTGTTGCCTGCTAGTATTCGCTTATCTTATTTTTACCTCTCCAATTACTCCTAAGTATTTAAATTTTTGAACTCTTTCAAAAGTGCATTTTTTTATCTTGATTTCTCTTGTGTTGATATCTTCTCTTCCAGAGCAGATTTAATATTTTGATTTTCCTTCGTTAATTTGTAGACCTCTTTTGCGTACTCCATTTGTCAGGATTGTTAATGCTTCTTTTAATCGCTCCTTACCTCTTCCTATAGGAACTATGTCATCTGCATGATGGTGGGCTATAGTTCCTTTAATCCCGCTGGCCTTTACTTTTCCTTCTACAGTTATGTTAAATAATGTGGTTGACAGGGTAATCATCTGTAAACTGGTTTATTTGTGTTAACTGGTATGTCTTGATTTTTCATTTAAATTAATAATTTATTTCTTTCCATACTGTCAAAGTCTACAAAGAGAATGCCTTCTCCTACGAATAGAATGCCTTCTCTCAATCATTGCTGGTAATCCTCTTTTTTTTTTCTCTGATGAAGTTTTTGATCAGCTCGCTATTTCATCTTGGCCAGATGTTTTTCGGTTTTACTTTTAGAATGATATGTAAATATTTACCATATGTTGGTATTCTTATTTCATTATTCCTCATATCTTCTGTTGCACATCCTTTCTGTTCATGACTTTCTCTGAGCCTATATAGATCTGTAAAGTGTGTTTGTCGTTGTCAATTTTAACGCTGCAATTTTTTTGTTGAGCTTTTAGGTATTAAAATACTCTAACGCTGTCGTTACTTTTCTAAATACTTTAACAAATTTTCCACCTACAGCTTTTTTTTGTTTTTATACAAAAGTGAATATCAGCGTGAAATTTATCCATTCCATAATTCGCAACCGTGATGTTCAGTGGATCCAACTCTACTTACCGATGGGTTTAGATAGTATGGTACTATACCAAGGTTTGATGCGTGATAGTCTACGCTTGCTAGTCTACATGTAGAATTGATACAATATGTTCAATAGTCAGTTTTATATCAACTAATTTTATTAAACAACACTTTGATTTATTTTGTTTTGTCTTTTGTAAGCACCAATTATTTATTATTTACATTATCTTTATAATATTAATTCTGCGCTTATGATCGCCGTCAATTGTTCTTGTACAGTCTTCCCGATATCAGTATTTTTGTCATCTTGACCCTTTGTGTTGTAAACCTAGTTTTTTTTTAGGTTCTTTCTGTTAGTTGTTTCCATCTGCTTTTTACATCCTTTACTTTTGTCTGGTGTTTTAGCTTCTCTTTTAGATAATCTCTAATATAGAGATTATAATATAAAATATTTATTGGATTTTTCGATTTGCAATAAAGCACCATTTAACTAACGTTAATAATTTTACTATGCTTAAATTTTACTAGTACATGGTCTGCATGATTAATTGGCATTGCAGCTAGGAGATAAGAGGACACAAAAAGAAAACATGTTGAAGATATATAGAACAAAATACGAAGAACTTAAAGAAAATGATTGAAGCCATGGGCTTCTGTGATCCGGTGAACTTATGTATGTATAATTCTGTTAAACGATTTATAAAAAATAAAGCCCACTACCAACCTATCGCGAAAGATATAAATGACCGATTTATTTTATTAATTTTAAAATTAATCCATGCCTTTGATATTAAATGTGTGGTCACCTATAAGTTGTATACTTAATTATCAAAAAGTGAGTGTTCTATAAATTTTAATATTATTGTGGTATGTACAGACCGTATAATTTTGAAAATATTGTTGACAAATTCATTAAACTTAGTACTTTAAATTGTGGTATAATCATTGTTTAAAAAGCAAGTATAATTGATTTAAGTCATTTTCTAACCTTAAATATTAATATCAATATTATTTACAAAAGTTATAAAAACTTTCAAAAAAGTATTTACCTAAAAGAAATTTTAAAGCCGTCCATACACTAATTATTAGTTTGTGTATAAATTATAATTTTATTATATGAATTTAAAAGAATGTAGGTATAATATACTTTCTTATTTTCAAATGGTTTTGGTAATTCTGGAATTGGTTTATCCAATGGTGTAGAGTTGAAATCTTTCTCTTTGTATTATTCAGAAAATTAGTTCATGTGACATTCCTTTGACAAACGGGCTAAATTCTTTACCGGTTAATTAACAATTTTACTTTACTTAACAATTTACCGGTTAAAAATTGCTATAACGAACACTAAAACTGTTCGGATCTTATAGAGCAAGAGCCGGTAAACCCAGACCTTCGTTATTTTATAAAAGATGAAAATGCCCCAACATGCCCCAACACGGGTTCGAAAGATGGTTATCATGGTCTTGTTGGTAGGACACCTCTTGAGAAGGGTGGGATCAACTTTGCAATTTTAAATAGAACAATTTTTGATTGCAGATTTGGATTCCTCATAAAAATTTTATAAGAAACATTTTTTTCGAATTGTTGATAGATGGCGTTAGAATCGGAAAACCCGATTTATCGTAAATCGTGATACCCTTAGTATACACTTCGTGATACACTTAGGCTATTATACTTTAAGACTAAAAACCCCTTTTGCCAATTGTAGTCCTTTTTAAATTAGCCAGATTGATCGCTTCAATTATGGTCATTTAACTAATAATAAAAGCGTCATCAATAAAACAGCAGTTTTGTGCCTCGGCACAATATGCTATCTCCTTGAATCACAAGTAAATTTTTCTGATTTCAAAATATTATTTAGTTCCTCTAAAATACTTTGAAATGTGTTAATTTTTTTCCTAATATCATATTTTCAGTCCTTCTTCAGTATTCATTTGTATTACCAGTTACCTTCAATACATTATTGTCACCAATATTTAAATGAATCGCCTTGTGAAGTCGTATAATATTTTATCTACTTTTACATGGACGAAGAAGCGATTTTTGATTGTCTTTTTAGAATATACACTCATCCAGTATCGATTCACGTCTATCGGCTGTCTCTTGGTTGTAGATCTCCCTCTCATATTGCCTTTTGAACTTCATCAAGCCATGTTTTTTTCGGTCTTTCTGGTTTTTCCACTCAGGTGGCTGCCAATTCAATATTACCTTCAATAGTCTATAGTCTGTTATTCTCTGTACATCTTCGTACCGAATAAGCTGATTTTGCTGTATTTCTTCTTTAATGGGGGTTGTTCTGTGTATGATTTATCTTATTCTTTCATTTGTTACGTGCATAATTCTGCATATACCTGCTGATCTGCTCCTAAAATTTATTTCCAGAACAAGGGGCTTTTGTTGTGTAGTGTAGTGTTTTTCCCTTTAAAAATGCTTTTGTATAGCTGTATCTCTTTCTGTTTAACGATAGTTTTTTACCGCAGTAGTGAGTTTAGAGCGACTATTATATTTTTCTCTCTATTGACTCGTTCTTCGATTTTTGTTTTTCTTCCAGATTTGTTAACTTCATTAATTTTTTTGCATAATAATATGCTACCTAAATCAAAATTCAAGCATATTTGATTCACCTGCATTGCGTTTAAATAAGTGCATATAAATCTGGCATTTGGCCTGATTATATATCAAAAGCTGATTATGTGTATGGATTTGTACACAAAATGTTTTCCAATAAAGAGATAAAGTAGTAATATTTACAGTACAAATTTTTAGAAGCTTTATTTAGGAAATTAAAGTTACATAACTTATTAATGTAAAATTTCTAGTATTTTGATTAACATATACTAAACTGCGACTTCCCTTCTGTCCTAATCTATCCATAAACTCTTATATGTTAATATATGTATGCATAATCAATAATGTATGCAAAATATATCTATGCATGTAATTACTCAAGATACTGATTTTATTTTATTTTGTTGCAGGTTTATATGGCCACTTAGCAACTATCTAGTCCAGATGCCGCGGCCTTGACGAAACCTAGTCTTACCAACATAACTTTTAATGGACATAATGAAATATCCTAGCCTCTCTCAGAGTACAAGCATGGCAGTCAACAATGGTACCCACGTCGATGAGGTCGATCCCTTATTCATCTCCTCTTGTTGGGGCACCAACATGCAACCGGAATTCATTGATGCACATAAATTGATTCTAGAAGGTCATATCAGCAACTTAGGATCCGACAAGCTTCTCCTAGAGTCTTCATTGGAGGACGACAGTGAAATCGAAAGCAAGGATACTATAGAGGCTTTGGATAACCTGTTACTCAGTGCGCAAAATATTAATACTAGTCTGGCAGAGCTGAAACCTCTGCCTCCGTTCACAGGATATACTGCCAACCTTAGTATAAATGGCATACAAGGGCATCATTATCATACCATATCCCAAAGAATTCCAGAAGAATCCAACAGTAATTATAACAATTTTAGTGAACAGAATATAGTATCTAGTTCTACGTGTAACGTTAATGCGGACTCAGCCAGTGATCAGGACAGTAAAGCATTTTTCTCTAGTGACAGTTATACAGAATGTGTAGACCCAGATTCAGTGTCATCGTTAAAGTACGAAGACTGCAGTCAGCATGCCGTGGATTCTGCTACTAACATAAAAACTGAAGTAGCCGACTACGACATATCATCCATAGACGATATAGCTGCTATCATAGGCTCAGCAATAGCTGACACAACGGTTCCGAATAACAACCCAGATAGTGAAGAACCTTCGTGTTCTAGGGGTAGTTGGATGGACCTAGATGCTTGGATAGATGACCAGCAAAAAGGCTTACTTATCACTCAAGATGGTCTATCAGAATTCGTTATTCCAGCGGTACAGCAAAATAACGTTCAAGTTCAACAAAGTGGATCCACACTACAAACACTTTTGACGCATGGCTACATGCCTTTGTTGCAAAATAGGCTACAAAACGGCCCTCCCATAAAACAAGAAGTTCCCAGTTCCACAAACTATGGAAACGATATGATTTCCACCAGCAGTCCGCCGTCCAATGTAGTCTCAACAACCGATAATCTCCTGGTCACAGTAAACGGTAGGTTTCTTCCCCAGTATATCCACAGTTTAAGCGAAGACCACAGGATAAGGAGTCCCGATATGCTCCAAAACTACCCTCATACAACAACCACCACGAATGCTCCCAAAAAGTCCAGGAGCAGAGCCCAGAAGAAACAGCAACAGCAAGCCAGTTCGAGTGTGTTCCAAACAGATCAAACATTAGGACTTTTAGGTAAAGAAAAGCCCGTGCACAGGTGCAACATTTGCAATCGGGGTTTCTTGAACAAAAGTAACATTAAGGTTCATCTCAGAACGCACACGGGGGAAAAGCCCTTCAGGTGCGACACTTGCGCTAAAGCTTTTAGACAAAAGGCACATCTTTTAAAGCATCAACAGATCCATAAAAGGATTGGAAGAGATTGAAGACCTTGTTTCAGCTTAAAAGTATTTAATAGCAGGTTATAAAATTTCGTTTTGTGACGGAGTTGTACTAATGTTTCAAACTAGTCATTTTTATTTAGATCAAGATATAACACCAGTGGTTACAGGGATTAATATATTACATAGTTACGCCCTAAAGATCACTATCTGTTCCTTGTCTGCTACAAGCCTTCTTGTTAAACATTGTTTCGCTGTTTTATATTATCTTTCAATGGCACATTTTACTCAACAAAGATAGCTTTTACAATACAGGTCCGTTTTGCCTTCCTCGCTTTGAAGACTTTTCTTCTTTAATTTATACTTATTAGGAATCAAGCCAATCATGTTTTTTTATATATAAAATGGACAAATTGTATATCTATGCGTTACTTTTTTTGCATTTTTCAATTGCGTTTTGTAATTTTGAAAGATATTTCTATTTGTCTTGGTTTTTTAATGTCCGCGTCTAGCATTCATACTATATTTGATTACACGAAGAAAGTATATGCATTATGATTATAATTTAAAAATATAAATTTTTAGTAAAATAGAACTTTAGTAGTAATTTATATTTATTATTTTAAAAGCTTTTTTTAAACTACAGTAAATATAAAATTTGATATTAAAGTTTTTATCTTCTTATTAATTTACTTTTGGCAGGTCAGTTATTTCACGATTATAAGGTTTATATTTACATGGATATTATATTTATTTTTCTGTAAATTTTTAAAGTTTCTATAACATCGAATGTATTATAAATTAATATACGAGTATTATTCCTGTGGAAACTCCTTTAGTCCTAAACTCATTAAGTTAAATAATGTTAATATATAAGCCAGTCCTGCACATCAGAGAATCAGTTCAATGGATCTATTAGTCCATTTTTTGCTTCCTTCTTTATTTGCCTTCCCTTTCCTCGAATAATATTTCTTCACGTTGTTCATTTTTTGTTGAATAAACTACTTAAGTAAAAAAACTTGACTACTTAAGTAAACTAATACGTTACTTTTCAGACATATATCTTTTTTTAATTCTTTAACCTGGATTGTCAAAGAAACTGTACTATTTATTGACTTCAAAGTTAGTACTTCTTCGAATAAAATGAATTTTAGTTAATAAGCTGAAAACAGAACAAAAATGAAACAATACAGAAATGTACATGATGGGTTCACATATATACAAAATTAGTAAAAAAATTGATTAACAACAAACAAAACGTTTTTAAAAAATTTGACCATTAGGTATTAACTTTGTACCTATAAAAAATAAAGTAATATATTTAAATATAAACATAACATTTCATGAAGAGGCTGGATTGGATCGGCAAATTAAATCACTGAATTCACTGTTCCAAATTTTATGACTTTCTGCAATCTAAAACGTGAAATTGTCTGTGATAACTTACTTTTTCTCACTAAATGTTTCTCTATATTTACCTGTTCACAATATTTTGTAAAAAAAGGTTTTTGTATATGGTTAGATATTATTACAAACAAGAATCCATGTGTACTTGTGCAATTAAGTGCCAAGCGATTTTTAATTCATTATTGAAAATGTACGTACTTAAAGAAGATTATACGATTTCAAACAGAGGCAACCCAACTTAATAATAAAAAAGTCCAATGATTTCATTTTTGGTCTGGTGTCTTTGAACGTGCTATAAAACAGGTACCTCAAGAAAAATCTCAAAATATTCCTATTTATGGACAATGTGCAATTTATTTGTCAAAATGGCCGTGCATTATGTATATATTTTATATGAACAAATCTATATATTTTATTCTTATTAATGAATACAACTTCCCAACGAATTTTTAATTAGTTTTGTACTTTTCAGAACTTTGAAAATAAAATCAAAATGTGTTAAAATACTTATTTAATAAATGAGAATTTATAACTTTTGTTATCCAATACTCTATATGCTTTAAAAAAAGTTACATTACAAAATAAAACGTCCTTGTTTTCCGAGTTGACAGCTTGATTTCATAGTCAGAGCTACTGTAATGTAAGAATCAATTCGTCACATCTTTTGATAATGGTATTTATTGAAGCCGTACGAAAATGTGCATCTGCCTAGCTAGTAACCACTGTATTTAAATGTCGCTGCTAATTTGGTAAGCATACAGAGAATAACATAAAAAATCATACAGGTATTGCTTAAAACATGTTTTTAATAATTATATCATATATAATGTTAAAGTTCAAAACATGTAAAGAAATTGTTTTTGTATTATTATTATTATTTTCACTGTTCTAATGGTCAACACTAATCAAAAAATATTCTCTAGTTATATTTTTCAATATTTGGCAACAGTTTTGTTCCCTTCTTGTAATCATTTGGCATTGTGTTTCAATAATAATATTAAATCCAGTGTAAATTTATAGGAATGTTAATTTGTTTCGTTAAAACAAATGGACCACAACACCCAGTTCAAATCAGTTCCTTGTACTGCCATACTCTTAAAATAAACTAAGTATTAAAGCAATAAAACTTACTAAAAACTTGTGGTTTTACTAGTCAAAAAACAAACATTTTTAAATGAAAATTCAAATTTATAATATAAATTTATATATTCCTCACATCTACTTAATTACTCTTTTGGATATATTAAATTAACAAACTGATTTATATTTAGTGTGTCTCTACTTTTTTCTTATACCTCTGCTTAAAGGTCCCCAGTAACTAATAATCAATCAAATGTTTAACAATATTTTATATATTGAAACACAATGTCCCCCCACCCCTATGTTGCATTATTGTTGAAAAATTTGTGCTTTGTTTAGTTCCAAACTATATATTGTCTACAATATCAACATTACACTTGAAATATTAAAAAACAATGTCTTAACGGAAACTCCAGGACTAGATTCTAATGAGGATCTTTTTGGACACTGCTAAATATTTTGTTCTGCTTAGTCTCCTGATTATATTCTATTGAATGAATCATTATTGTATCTCAATATTCACGTATTCATATTCAACTTTGATTAAATTAGAAAGTACTTTCTTATTAACTCCAGACGGGCAGAGACAAAGAGTCCTTATTCTTCCTTTCTTCTTCTCGTCGCCAAAATATATTGTGTTCTATTTAATCTTTACTACTTGCTCTGTAAAAGTCGTCCATTTTGGGTACTTCTTGTATGTTTTGATCTGTTCCACTTTGGGAACTTCTCGTATGTTGTGATCTCCCTCTAGATGTTTTGGTTTTAAATGTGTAGCTTAAACTGACTGAATGGTGCCCAGGCCAATAGGATTGGTATCTTTATTTCTGTCGTCTTATTTTACTGGATAATTCATATATATATATATATATATATATATATATATATATATATATATATATATATATATTCATTACCTGACAGTATTAGTAATATAATAAAGATATATTACTTAAAGTACCAAACAGTTTTCCTTTGTCTGTTACGCCACACTTGAATTTACTTTCTGCTTCTTCTTCTTCAAGTTCCACTCCTATCGGAGATTGGAGATCATTCTGGCAATTATAATTTTATTGGTTACTCGCCTGAATAGTTCAATTAAACTGCATCCAAACCACTCACGGAGATTGCGTAGCCACGAGATTTTACGTCTTCCTACGCTTCTTCTACCTTTGATTTTACCCTGCATTATATTCTTTAGTAGTTCGTACTTTTCACCTCTCATGATGTGCCCCAAGTATTCCAATTTCCTGATTTTTATGGAATTTAAAACTTCGCATTGTTTTGCTAGTTGTTCGAGAACTTGTTCGCTTGTTTTGCGATCCATCCAAGATATTTTCAAAATGCGTCTGTTACACCACATTTCGAATGCTTCTAGGTTTTTAATGTTGGATTTCTTAAGTGTCCAAGCTTCTTTTGTCCAGTCTTTTGTCCCTTTTCCTTCTACCTTTTTGTTGAAAAGTCCAAGCAACTTTTCTGCTACGTCTCATTTTTATCGTGACTTCCTCTTTCGAGGGTTTTTTACCATTATAATGAGTTTCCCTTTAATTATTCTGATGCCCCAAAACTTTCTTGTTTTCTGGATTTCACTTTTTGTAATCACGATTTTTATTTTAGTCTACAAGTCCATGTGAGATTTTTAATGGGTCATTGGACCCAGCATGAATCACATCTAAAACAATACTATCATTTCGTCAATTCTTATAGGTACGTGTGAGTCACAGGTAAAATAAACTTACCACTCAAAAGGGGAAGATTTTTTTGGCCAAACATTTTTGTACGTCATTTATAACTTATGTAGGTAATACAGAAATAATGACCTCCGTAATATTGCCGTACAAAAATATTGATACCAAGAGAAGGGAAAATTATTAATCTTCGGAAAACTGTTTCTCCATTTTCGGTAACTTGACATAGTACGGCATTCATACAAAAAGTTTCTAATTGGTATCGATTAATTTTTTGCAACGCCGTAGATTTTGTCTGGGGCAGGGGTAAGAAAACTAAGGTGCAACCCCTAATTTGAACCCCCATGCTTTGTGTACCGATAAGAATTGACGGCATAGTTTCTAAAGTTTAGATTTTGCATGTGATTCAAATGACCCATGGGCTTGTAGGATATTTTAGATTATCTGGATCAACAACTTTTGGTCTTTGAATGTTTTAACAAAATTAGCATAGCATACCAAAAAGTTTTTCGGTCCCTGTTATAAATTAAAATCATGTAATTGTCATTCTTCCAGTCTTTGAAATTCGTCATAATACGATTCTTGTGATTGTACGTTTCTAACTCTCGTCAGGATAATTTGATTCGTTATTAGGCTATCCCTACACTTGCGATTTTTAGTCGCTGCGACAAAAAAATTGCTGTCGTAGAAAATCTAGAGTTTGTCTCCACTGCGATTTATATATCGCTGAATTACATCAGGTTTTCAATGGATGACATCGAAACTACTTTTGTAATCGCTCTTTTGCTTCGGGCGAGAACTAAACGACGAAAGTATCTTTATTGGATTCATCCGTTAATAAATCAAAGAGTATTTAAAGGACAGTTTTACATGTTATTTGAATAATATTACTTATAATCCATAGTACGCAAAATCAGAATCAATAGTATTTAAAATGTCCCCAACAGTTCCAACATATCCCTAGTAGTCTGACATTTTAAAAAAATTGAAAATTAAATATTCTTGAAGACACACCAGGTTTAGCTGGCTTTAGAATCGCGACTAAACAATTGTAAGTGCATAATGTCGTGCATAAATGATTGACGTCACGGTGAAAATAAAACAGGTTCTTTCTCTTCTAATGCCGTCTCCACTAATGAAGGTTAGCTATAACCATTGCAAATTCGTTTCTATCTTCTGCTTTTCTTAAGAGAGTCTGTGTATTTAACCCAGACCTATGTGTTTAAGCCAGGATATTTGTCGTCTACTAGAACCCATCTTTTCTTCGATTTTACCCTTTATAATCAGCTGCAACAACTCGTACTTATCATTTCTAAGTATGTGCCCAAAATATGCTCTCTTTCGCCTTTTAATGGTGATCAAAAGTTCTCTGTCTCTTCCCATTCTGTGCAATACCAGTTCTTTCGTAATATGATCGGTTTATGGTATCTTCAAAGTATCTTCATAAAAAAGAATAGAGTGGATATAACATTTTACCATCCGATATTGGATTTACAGATTAAGTCTTCATTTTTTATCTGGATCTTTGTAATGACTTTGCCCTCTTACTGATAACCATGGTTTTTGTTTTCATCATCATCATTGGCTTTTACAACTCTTCGTGAGTTTTTGCCGCGTTTACTATTGCCTTCCATTGATTCCGATTCTGTGCTATTATTTCCCATGGCCTTACTTCCATCGTCTCCAGGTCTTCCCTGACTGCCTCTTTCCACCTTTTTCTAGGCCTTCCTGTCGATCTTTTACCATCTGGTCTTTCCCAAAACACATTGCTAATCAGTCTGTCGTCATCACTCCGTACCACGTGGCCTGCCCATCTTAATCTATTGGCTTTTATGTATCTTACAATGTTTCCTTTCCCGAAGAGAGTCTCTTCGGTTTTTGTTTTCTTTATGTTTATTGTTAAACCAAACTGTTCCCCATTATCACAAATTGTGTTTAGTAACGTCTGCAGGTCTGTCTCACTTTCAGCGATATTGACTATATCGTCAGCATAACGGATGTTATTTATATTTTTACCATTTATCTTGATTCCTTCTGTACAGTTTTCAAGTGCTTGCGTAAATAACTCTTCGGAATATATATTAAATAGTAATGGTGAAAGTACACAGCCCTATCTCACTCCTTTACTTATCTATTGCGCATCCGTGCTATTTTCATCTAATGTTATCACAGCCTGTTGGTTCCAATAGAGATTTCTCATTATGTTAATGCCATTTTTGTCGAGTCCTTTTCTCTTTAGACATTCTACGAGAATGTTATGTTTAACTTTGTCAAAAACTTTCTCATAGTCTATAAAAGCAACGAAAAGATCTTTTCGTTGGTCTTGAACATTTTTGGGCAAGAGTTGTGAAACTGTACAGAGCTTCCACTGTTCCGAAGCCGTCACGAAAGCCAAAGCTAATTAAGCTAATAGGCATTACAGTGTTTGGGGTTTTTGGTAGCGGAATAAAGGTCGGTAGCAGTCATTCTGTAGGTATCTCACCAGATTTGTATATGTTGTTAAAGAGTACAGTTATTGCACTTAAATTGTCTTCGTCTATAAGTTTAATCAGCTCGATATGAACTCTATCTGACCCGGGGGCTCTGCCAGATTTTGAGTTGTTTATAGCATGTTGGACTTCAGATTTTAATATTCTTGTAGCTTCCTCATTATCAATTTGTTGGTTCCGTTCTTGTGTCCATGAAAAGATCTTCAATATATTTAGTCCATACTTGTTTTATTTCATCTGGGTTATTA